TCAATAGGCATATTATTCAAATCTTTAGCCTCCTCAATAGCAGTCACTTTATTTTTTCAATCATTGGATAAGGCATTCAGAATTTTTCTGTTTTTCTCACCTAAAGAGTATTTATTTTCAGCACCTCCAAATCTTTAATGAGGTCATTGAATTTACAATACATCTTATCAATATTTTCATGAGGTTCCATCTTGAACGATTCATACTTGGTAACCAAAATAGATTTCTTTTGTTCTCTAACATTCTCACTACCTTCATGAATTTCTTTCAATTTATCCCAAATTTCTTTAGCTGACTTGCAACCCTTGACTCTAATAGATTCATTTGAGTCTAAAGCACAATATAACACATTCATGGCTTTTACATTTAAGGTGAGATGAGCTCTATCCACAGCAGTCAGTTCATTTCTAGTTTTTGGTCTAGATCTATGAGTATTTTCTTCTATAAGAGAGGTATCATATGGACCTTCACTAATAATAAACCACAATTCAATATCAATTGATTGTAAAAATATAATCTTTCTTTCTTTCCAACTCAAATAATTTGACCCATTAAACATAGGTGGTCTAATCACAGAATGTCCTTCAAAAAATATGACATTATTGGTTGTCATTTTTACTCCAAAGCCGATTGAGCTTAATCTCTAGGAGACCAAACTCTGATACTAATTGTAAAGATCGAAGACAACCAAGTGGAAGAGATAAATAATGTAAAGATCACAAACGTAACAATAAGTAAATAAAAAGGAAAGAATTGCAAACCAATTAACTACCCAACTCCTCTTGAGCTTGTAGATTAATTCAAATAAGTTTCTTCAAGTTGATGAATTACAATCACTCTTGCGTACAATGGAAGGTTCACCTCCTCCTTACCCCGAACACCACTCGGTCAAGTCAGGAAGTTTTACTATCCCTCAAAACAACCCTCACAGAGCTACACTCATGAAGTATTCACTCACAAATGAAAAGTTTACAATGAACCTCACACCACTAAGACTACAAATCTTCTTTGAAGAGTATTTTCTCACTAAAATCACTCTAGATCTTTTGTATCTTCAGTGTGCAAAAGCTGTTTGAAGTATCTGACCAATCACTATTTATATAGGACCAAGAGAGTGCCTCATTAATGCTTCCAATGGATAGAAAGTAGCTGAAGAGTCAGCTAGCCGTTGGAATATCGGACATCCGGTAGTCTTGTTTCTTGCGTCCGACAGCAGGCAGTGAGGAAAAGAGATTTTTTTTAATTCTTTCGGACGTCCGGTAGGTTGCTTTTCTGCGTCCGAAGGTATGATGTAAAACAGAAAAAAAATTTCAATTTTTTCGGACGTCCGGTAGGCTGATTTTCTGCGTCCGAAGTGTCGCAATGATTATCGGACATCCGATCCTGACTTCTTGAGCGTCCGACAGTTTCAGCATACTTTGTCCCTTTCAAATGTTATTAATCTTTGAATCTAATTTGTTTCATGGCTGAAAGTATTTCTTGAAGAGATATTAGTATTATCCATTGTTTTGTAAACATCAAAAGCAAGGGTCCAAGGCCAACACTTCTTGTAATGGAGGATGAATTGAAGTTATCACTTGATCGTATTTTAATTTCCATTTTTTATATAAATTGGATTGAATATTTATTTGCAGAGTATTATATACATCCTCTATTCCTATTTTTGAAATATAGAATGATAACCAAGTAAAGAAAGGAAAATCAAACTTTCTAGTTTCTAGTTCATTCTTCCATTCTAATATTAATTTTTATTTATATTCAGAAGATAATTGAAAAAATCAAATTCTTTTTTCTGTGTTTTCTTTATCATCAAAATCATCTTGTAAATATTTATGATTTATTTTATATTCTCTGGTTATTACATTTATTTCTGCTTTCATTTGAGAATGTGTTGGAGAATATTTTGATTGATTTTGATTAACTACTTCTGGTACTGGACTTATCTTTATTTAAAAAAGTCCTTCTCAGTTAGATTCATTCCAGATGGATTTACTTATCAGGATTACAAAATGGCATGGTATCGTGCTTTTTTGTATAGACCTTTTAATCATTCATGATTTTTTACATTCAAAGAACGTTGCAGCAGAGAATTCTCAATTTGATTTAATCACTGGTAGCAATGGTTTGGGCCTCAAAAAGAAATTCTACCTCCAAACGTTTTAATGGAATTACAGACCTATCTCAAAAAAGCAAAGGGGGAAGAGTATATAAGGCCAATTTTATTTCACATGGAATACAAAGTACCATGAATTTTTTGCTGGAGTTTCAAAATTCATCAAGAACTAGAAAGACCACTTCTAATGTCATTAGTCAGATAATTCAAGATCAAATGGTGGACAGGATTCAATCAAGAATTCTGTGATCAAAAGAATATTTTATGATTTTTAGAAACAGGAACAAAGCCCAAATGGACAAATCCAAATCAACAGAATGCAAAAGGAGTTAGTACTCCAACAACTGCACAAAAGAAGGAAAAAGAATCAAGCAGTTCAGTCTCAGAGACAATTGCAAATGATTTCTTAATGAGAAGATGATGTAAAATCCGGAAATGCTTAAAGAATATTTGAATTATTTACAGAATCAAGACAAAAAAGATGAGTCAGCTGGATCATCGTCAGAATCTACTTTTGATCCTTTTGGTGGGCCTTATGCTCAAGACCCGACAGATTTTTGATAAAGTTGTCGGCCAATTTCAACAAATAAGGATAAGAATCTCAAAACCAACCAATCAAAATAAGGTGTCGGCAGAAAAAGTAAAATGAAAAGGTGTCGGCAGAAAAAGCAAATGAAATTCAAATAAAAGTGTCGGGAACCAAATGAAGATGAAATTACAAAAGCCTCTATAAATAGAGTTCAAAACCAGAAGAGGAGGCATCGAGTGTTTTAGCTGTTTTAAGAAACTTTCTGAAAACCTCTTACTTCCATTCAGTTTTAAATTCCTCTGTACTTATATTTCAATAAAGACTTGAAGTTTAATTTCATCTCAAAGGTTCTACAATTAAAAGCTTCCGTTCCAAAGATTACTCTGAATTTCTGTAAGTTTTTTATGCTTATCTATTTAACATTATTAATTAGCTTTACTTTATACCTGGGTTGGTTCTTATTTAACATTATTAATTAGCTTTACTTTATACCTGGGTTGGTTATGGTATCAATTGATTCATAACTAGATCGTCTAGCTGGTATCCAAGAATGGCTTGAAGTTGAAGACCTTTCTCTAAATGAAGAAAATCTCATTAAAATTTTTCCATCAGGTTCTTCTATTATATCTTCTGGATTTGTATGTTCCATATTTCTTGGTACTTGTGGATTTTGTATTATAAATTCACTATGTATAGTGATTTCATTCTTGGATACCAGCTAGACGATTTAGTTATGAATCAATTGATACCAGAACCAACTCAGGTATAAAGTAAAGCTAATTAATAATGTTAAATAGATAAGCATAGCAATTTCCAAAATTTTCAACTCTGCCCCACTAAATTTTAAGAAATGTAAATATACATAACTTACTTTATAATTTGATAGAAATGGAGTACAAAATAATCTGAAACCATATGCCTTTTACTTTAGTCTTTAATTCCCTTGGAACTCGTTATATTTTACTACTCCTATGCTAAAGGAGTTGTTTGGGCTTTTTTCAATATAACAAAAAGTACATTACTTCAATATGCCTAGAAAATGATTAGTACTGCCTAGTAAATCAGAGGTGACATATCCTAATAAAACAAAAAAAAATGTAATCCTAACTATCACAAAAAGTTGTAGGGACAAGGGAAATTGAAATGTTCTGTATGCTTTTTGAAAGAAAATGATTCTTGTATTGGCGAATTTGAGTATGTTATTTCCGGTTCTATTATACATGAAATAGTTGTACTACTATTACTTGTTAAGTGAATTTCGTTGTTATATCCAAAGTTTTTAAAGGAAGAATTGCCCCCACATGAATCTATACTTCTCAGAAAATGAAGCATGAGAAGCCAAAGAGGGAGAAGGAAAAGAAGAATAAAACTAATCAAGCTTGATGCAAGATGCACTAGGGTCAACACTTTTACAAGTTTTACAATGAAATGTATTTAACAGTGTTCTAAACACTTTCATAATGATGTAAACCTGGAAGCTGCAAAGTTTAGTGCAAGCAGAAAAATTCATTATTTATAAATAATTCCAAGTTTGAATATTAGAGAGACTTTTGGCCAATTAGGATTACATGTCATCAGAAAGATATTTGGCTTTCCAAATTTTTGAACTAATGTCATTGCATCCATATATTTATGTCTCACATTCCTTGGTCCTCCAATGAAGGAGGGTGGTAATATGATTCGTTGGCCAACTTTTGATGCTTGTGTTTCACCTGTAGTCACAACATCAATGATTCCTTGTAAAAATTCCTTTCGTATTTCTTCTAGCTGATTCCTAAAGAAGTCAAGTCTTTGACTTTCTAATTTGACATATTGATCTACAACGTATTGTTGTAGTAGCCTTGCAAAGTGAAGGAGAAATGATTCATCGATAGTCCTTATTTGAAGTTTGTAAGCATAATGATACGAATTCGACTCAACAAGAACCTGTCTTAAAGAATCAAGTTGATCAGGCAGTGGAAGGATCTAATTTGATCAAGTTATGGAAAAATAACTACTTTACTAGATCTAAGGAGAACCCGTCTCTAAAAACCTAATGGATTGATTATTGACTTGGAAAAACAAGATTATGTGATCATCTTGCCTTGAACACGACAAGTATCCAAACTAAATACTTGATACAATTCAAGAAGAAACTCAAATTCCATCAAGAAACTTAATGTCTACAGATTCATTAACGTATCAAACAGAATAAATGCCTCAAGGGCATGGTCCACAATTAACATTTCCAAATAATGTATGTCTTTACTTTTTCTGCTTTTCTTTTCCCATTGTATTAATTTATTTGTTTTGGCCTGGTTCAACAATTTACGTTTACAATTTTCTCTAAAGCTGCATCATTTCTGTTCCTGTGTCAAGGTTCAAACTGTAGAGGAACAAGTAAGAGCTTCAGCAGAACACAAACTAGGAGTTGCAAATCAGAGCATCACTGCCGGCTTTTTTGATAATAATACCAGGTTTTTGTTGAACTGCTTGATGAAATCTTATTATCAATTGTGTATCCATAATTCCCTTAGTTGCATGCTAACCTTTTAGCCAATCAACAACAGTGCAGAAGATAGAAGAGAATACTTGGAGTCCCTTCTGCGGGAGTGCAAGAAGGAAGAAGCTTCACCTGTTTTGGGTGATGATGCTTTGAATGATCTTATAGCCCGCAGGTTGGTTTCCTTCTCTGGCTTATTGAATAATTTGGTCTTACATATTCGTAAATTGCCTGGTTACGAAGTATGTAAGGTTGGCAATTGCTGGCATTAAAGTCCAAAACAGTGGGTTTAGCTTTTAAATTGACACATCTTGTCTGTGGCTGAAAAATGTGACCGAGTTATTTGCTTTTTTCTGAGATAATGAGTTCTAAGTACTGGGCATACATATTTAGTGAGTTGTATTGTTTGGATCTCTTTGCAATTAAGATTACTTTTTGCAAATTTCTTATGTCTCATGGATGAATCCTGTTTGTAATCTGTGGCTCCAGTTTTTCTTTTTGCATCTGGCTGCAAATTTTTGACACTCCGGCTGCAGCATTTCAAATAAACTGTTGTCTGGCTTACTGTATTTTGGTCATCTCTAATGATAATTTTGTGTTGCAGTGAATCAGAAATTGATATATTTGAATCGGTCGACAAAAAAAGGCGAGAAGAAGAGATGGTAATTTGAGAATTCTTGCCATTTCCTGTTTATCCATGGTCCCTTTAGTTTCCATTATCATTAAGTTTTTTGCTTCTTTTCTTAATTTTGAGTGCTACAAACTCTGCAGGGGGCATGGAGGAAGCTGGTCATAGAGAGTGGGGCTGAAGATCGTGAGTGCTTACCTCCCTTGCCTTCTCGACTTCTCACTGATGACGACCTCAAATTATTCTATGAAGCAATGAAGATATCTGAAGCACCACCACAAGTGGTGGCTTCTAATAGTGGAATGAAAAGGAAGAGTGATTACCTTGGGGGCCTTGATACTCGCCAGTATGGAAGAGGAAAACGAGCGAGAGAGGTTGGTGCATGACTTTCTAATGTTTGACTAAGCATATGCTAGGCATTCCCAAATGAATTAGCATCGCATGGTCAATGCTTGTGCAATTTACTAAATTTATAGTTGTGTCTTGATTGCGTTCAAGTATACATCCTTGAAATGGTAGTGAGAAAATGGTATCACATTCTATTAAGCTACTAGCTAATGTATAGTTCTGCTTCTCCCTCAGTCCTGAAATTTCAATTGCATTTTGTGAATCCACCTTATTTTTTTACTAATGGAAAGATGTGTGATGATTGTGCTCTATGTTTCAATTTTGCCCCTGTTTAAGCTTCATCCTGTATGTATTATACGGTTGCGTCATTATATGTAGACCTGAAGATAACATAAACATGATGGACCGGAAATATAGAAATGTTGAGGCCTGTGGACTTATCATGCAGAGTGTTGTTTCCTTCTAATGTGCTAGTAACATGCCATCAAATGCTTTATTTTTCTTGGAAAGTAAACTTTTGGGGCCCTCTTAGTGACCCACCAAAAAATAAAGTATGTGGTTATGTATAAAGGGTATAGAGTGGAAAGTGATAAAAGTGTTCTTTTCCATTTTAGGTAAGGGATGATAATTTTGGTACAAACCAAAAAGGAAATAATGAAACGTTTTGTGGGATGGAGAGAGAGTACTGGTTAATTAGCAACAAAATACAAGGGCAGTTATGGAGTTGGTAGTTTCGATGGGAGCTAAAAGGCAGAGAGACCACCAGACACAATGGTGCTATCCTTTTCATTCTGTAGGATGGATGGATATAGTCAGTTTGCCCCAACTGTCATGTTTGTGTTTCACTTTGGTGGTGTCTGTTTGGATAACAAATAAAAGATATTAGTAATGATGTGTCTATTTGGAGTTATTTAAAGTGGGGGTAAACCATATAGATTTTAAATCACCAGTTATTAGGCAAGCAAAAACTCAAAACTCGCATAACATTGATTGATGGGCATGCATTGTTCATTTTCTAGTAAAGAAATAGGAGAAGCTTATTTGCAGTAAGGGAACAAAATGATTTTATGAGTTGGATATTGCTGCATAGTGCTTTGGTATTCAAGTATTATGGGACAAAATGAATTTATCAGTTGGATATTGCTGAATAGTGCTTTGGTATTCAAGTCTTGTGGGAACAAAATGAATTTATTAGTTGGATATTAGTGATTAGTGCTTTGGTAGCCAAGTATTATTGAAATTCCCTTGCTGTTAATAATTGTTGGTGCGTTTTGTAATTAGGTACGATCCTATGAAGAGCAATGGACTGAGGAAGAATTTGAAAAAATGTGCCAAGCTGATTCACCAGGATCCCCTCAAGTGAAGGAGGAGATCATAGAAAAGAAATTGTCAGCCGTTATTAGTGACTGTGTCATGTTGACTGGTGAAACACAGGCACAGATGCCACAGCAACCACTGAACCCTATTGTTCAGCCAGCGGCAGAACCAAGCAAAGAGGTAACTCCACCATCTAAACGCGGACGTGGTAGGCCAAGAAGAACACCAACTACTACGGAATTATTGCCCTCTCCAGGGGCTCTTCTAGCATCTTCTGGAGTACAACCAATGAATGCTATGCCCAAGACGGAAAATGTCTCCTGCTCTCAGGTGGTTTCTCTTTCTGAAGGTTTGCAAGATTTGGCTCCTGAGAACAGCTTCACTGTGACTGTCCAGCAAATTGTCGTGGGAAGTGATCCTGGAGTGCAGTCAGTTTCTCTACCTCCTGTTACTCCTGCAGTTCCGCCTACTACTCTTCCGTGCCCTTCCACACCTGTACAAGGAAGGGGCCGAGGTCGTAAGGCACAATCTGCTGGAGAAGCCCCAAGACGTAGAGGTAAGAGACTGAATACTGTAGTTGTTCCTTCTCCAACACTGACAGCAATAAGCAAGCCTGAGTTTGAGACCCTGGTAGAAGGAGCTTCAAGCTCTTTGAGAGCCTGTAATCCTGATCCTGCATCTCAACCTTCAAATGCGGTACACAATACTGAAAAACGGACTCTGGTTTCACATGTTCCTCTTCTGTCATCTTCTGCGATGAGCAAATCAGACTTGGGATCTCAAGAAGTGTCTGTTTTGAACTCAACAATGCCAGTTTCTGATGCTTTTCCCTGCTCTTTGGTTATGGCTGCTCCAAATTCCTCAAGTATACCTACTGATGCTTTTCCTAGTTCTTTGGTCACTGCTGGTGTTACTCAACAAGATCCCCTTGCAAGGACTGCTCTTGCTGTTAATCCAGTCCCAGCTCCTCCTTTTCCTTCTGTTATTTCTGGTTCACAGTCTACTGCCCTTGCCCATCCTGCACCAGCGCGAGGCAGAGGACGAGGCTGCAAGGCTCAAAGTGGAGCAGAGGCACCTAGACGCAGAGGAAAGAGACAGAATCTTCAAACACCTGTTTCTTTTGAAGTATCAATTGATCAGGATCCAAGATCAGTTGAACCTCCTGAAAAAAAATCCAGGGTGTCTGTTGGGAGGAGGCCCACCACGAGAAATAAGCAGGAGCATGATGGTTTGAAACAGGCAAATGTCTCGGTTCCTTCCCAAAGTATTACTGATTCTGTGATTGGAAAATTTGATACTAGGCCAGAAAATGGGGCTCAAAAACCAACGGACATTACCCAGTTAGATGCATCTAAAAACTTTGTGGATTCTGTTGGACCCCTTGTTGATAATAAGCAGGATAATGGAGTTTTGAAACCAGTTAATATTGTTCAAACAGTTGCATCTCAAGGCAGTGCAGAACCTTCTTCCGATGAAATGAATAAAGATCATGAGAATCAAACTCAAGATAAAACCAATTCTATACTGTCAAATGCATCTCAAAACATGAAGTATCTTCCTATGGGTCAAGTTTGTGATGGTAAACCAGAAAGTGAAGTGAGACTAATAAACAGCGGCAACTCTGATGCATCCAGGGTATTTACTGATCCTCCCACGATTAAAGAAGGTAAAGATGAGACAGAAAGTGAAGGTAGGAGACTTAAAGATATCCAATTGGATTTATCTACTGGATTTGGGGATTCTTCAGTCGCAAGCATAAGCCAGTATAAACAGGGGAATACAGCTGAGAAAGAGATGAACATTATACTGTCTGATCCATGTCAGAGCAGAGAAGATGGTACCCCAGCCCAAGCTAGTGAGGCGGAGGATAACAGAACCGATAAATCAGCTTGTGATGTTGAGGCTGATGCATCTCAGTTCATTGCAGATCCTTCCAGGGGACACAGGCAGGAGAGTGAAGCCGAGGGGCAAGCAAATACCGGTCAAATGGTTGCATCTCAAAGTTTTTTAGATCCTGCTGGAGTACAAGTTAATACTAGTGTGCAAAAGAATGATGCTCCCATAGTGGATAATGTTGTGGAATTGGATTCATCTCAAAATATTGCATATTCCCCAGCTGTTGAGGTCCAGGATAATCAGGGAACAGAAGCTCAGAAGGACATTGATATTCAATTGGAAACTGCTGCTATACTTTCTGGATCAGTTCCCATAATTGAGAGTGCAGATGATAGGTGTTGCTGTGAACATAGGAAGGAAGTTGAGGATGAGATGGAAGAGGAGAACAGAACTGATACATCAGCTTGTGATGTTGAGTCTCATGCATCTCAGTTCATTGCAGATCCTTCCAGGGGACGGGGGCAGGAGAGAGAAGCTGAGGGGCAAACAAATACTGGTCAAACGGATGCATGTCAAAGTGTCTTAGATCCTGCTGTTGTACAAGTTAATGCAAGTTTGCAAAAGAATGATTCTCCCATAGTGGATAATGTTGTGGAATCAGATTCACCTCGAAACATTGCAGATCCCTTAGATGTTGAGTTCCAGGATAATCAGGGAACTGAAGCTCAGAAAGACACTGATATTCAGTCAGATACTACTGCTATACTTTCTGGGTCAGTTCCCATAATTGAGAGTGCAGGTGATAGATGTCGCAGTGAACGTGGGAAGGAAGTTGGGTATGAGATGGAAGAGGTGGAGAGCTCCTTTTTGGATCTACATCCAACTATTTCAGCTTCAGTCACCCCAGTTTCTGGTCTGTTGCACAGATCTGTTGATCAAGCTAAAACTGAGGAACAGGTTGCAAAAGATTCTTTTCCAGATCCAGGCTGTGTGTCAGCTCCGCCAACAAAGGAAAATGCAGCTCGAGATAAAAACGTTGCTTTGAAAAAGTCTGATGATTTCTGTGCAGAACTTGAAACTAAAAAAGAAGAAATCAAGGAGGCAGGTGTAAATGATTTTCTTGCCTTAAAGCCTGAGGTGGATGCGAAAATTCTCTTGCAAGAAAATTCACATTCTTTGGTGGTGGTTGAACCGATTGTTGTAGCCTCAAGCTCTAGTGTGTGCAATCCTGAAAATCAATCAGGTAAGGAGCGTGCAAAAAGTAAGTTTCTGGATGATTCCGTTGTTTCAGACCCTGGATTGACTGAGAATACAATTTACTCTGACAAAGGTGCAGACAACCCACTTTTGCTGATGTCAAGTGATTCAGACCTTTTGACACTGAATGATCAAAGGTGTGATGGTAAGACTTGTGCAACTGTACCAACTTTTGCATCGATGGGTTCAAGTGGTGCAGTTGTTATGTTTGAAAATCCAAGTGGAAAGCTTAGTGATGGAGAAGTTGAGCAAAAGGGCTCTGTTGACAGATCTCAAACCTCAGATTTATTGGAAGAGGGAACAACTGCTCCTGATTCTGAGATTTTGGAGGATATATCTGAGATTCATTCTAAGAAAACATTCCCCGAAGAGAACAAGAAGCAAGACAATCTTCTGAGTCAGGATTCTGTTTCAGTTTTATTTTCTGCTGAGAATGTGGCTTCTGTACTGGATAATGCTCAAAATAAGTCACAGGATATATGTCAAAATGTAGATGGAAATGATCCAGAGAGCAAAGGTTCTGGTTTGGATGAGGTCGTCTTGTTCAAGCATGAGTTGACTCGTGCTGGGGAAATCAAGCAAAAGGATTCTGCTTTTGATGGACCCCAAACCTCAGATTTGTTGAACGAGGCAATAGCTGCTTCTGATTCTGGGGCTTTGACAGAGATATCTCATTGTGATAAAATTGCCACAGATCAGTATGAGAAGCAAGACACTGTTCCGTGTCAGGATTCGATTTCAGTTGTATCTTCTATTGAGAATGTGGTTTCTGTTGTGGATCAAGCTCCAGAAAACTCACAGGACACATGTCAAAAGGAAGATGGAAATGACCTTAAGAGGAAAGCTACTGGTTTGGTTGAGGTTTCTGTATTAAAGAATGAGTTGACCATGACACTGGAAACTTCATCTCAAACTCTGAGAGCTTCAGAAGTGGCTCCGGTATTAGATACTACTGTAAAAGAAACTAGGAATCAGGCCACAGAAGAGGATGCTAATGGACGGGGGAGTAAAGATTCTTCTGTAATGGAGTCTGTTGTTCCTAAGCCTGAAGTGTCAGAGGTTGAAGCTTGTCCTGGGAAAGCAGATGCTGAAGGGCTTCAAAGCAGAGGCTGTTTTGTGGAGAGTGCCAATGCTCCTGTTTCAATGTATGGCATAGCAAATAACCAATCTTTGGTTCAAAATACATCCTCCACCCGTTCATCTCTTGAAATTGAAGAAGTGGTAGCTGATCTTCCAAATGAAGAATGTGTGAAACAGGCTGATGATCAATTTCAGGTGGGACAGGTTGGAACAACTATAACTGAGGCTTTTGTTCCAGCACCTGATAGCGGTGATTTTGTTAGTAAATCATCATCAATGATTGTTACTGAGCTAAGAGAGGATTTTGAGGTGAAAAAATCTTCAATTACTTGTGATGGAACAACTGAAGAGAAGTCTGATTTTCAAGCTAGTGAAGATTATGCAACTGAAGTGCTAGAGACCAGGAATATGGAGGTTGAACCAGATGCAAGCCTTGCATTTGAGACCTTTAAGGGCATAGAAGAGAGGGTTGTTTCAAATGCTGAAATAAATGTCACCAGTCATAGTCCCAATGAAGGAAAATCTGAAAATTTGGTTGACTCCAAAATTATCGAAGAAAAGCCTGTGAAGGATATTGATAGAGAAGTTACTGAATTTACCGTGCAGACTAGCAACTTGAAGGATGATCTGCCTGAGATGGCTGAGGTTGATTGTGATTCTAGAACAGATGATTCAGGAAAACATGAAAGCCAAGACAGCATACTAGAAAAGGACTCTGCTACAACTGCTATGGTAAGTGGTGCTCAAACTTTGGAGGAAATGACATCCTCAACTTGTTTAGTGCTCGAGACAAACAGACTTAATGGTAATAATGAGCAATCTGAAAATGAGGCAGACTTGCAACATTTTGAAGAAATCATTCCAATTAATATTAGTAAAGAGGTCAGTGTATCCTGTATGAAGAGTGTTAATTTGATTGATGCTCTACCAGAGATGGCTGTGGGTGAAGATGATTCTAAACGAGCTGATTCTGAGATACTTGCAGCCACTGACCACATTCTAGAAAATGTTTCTGTTTCAACACTTGAGGCAACTAGAGTGCAAAATTTGGAGGAAACAACACCATCAACCATTTTAGTGCTTGAGACAGAAGGTTTAGTTGTTCAGCCTCCGAAAAAGAACTGCGACGAGCAATCTGACAAAGATATCGAAATGGTAGAAGATGGAAGTGTCCCTGATTTAAGCGCATCTTCCATTGCAGCAGCCGAGTGTTGTGAAATTGATACCAAGTCTGCTACTAATTTGCTGGAGAATATGGTTGATTCCATACAGAGTGCTGAGGAAGAAGCATCTCTGCCCTTGGAAATAGCTAGTCAAGATGTCACACCTGCTGAAGTGGCTGAGAAGTCCGAGATTGGATCTGGTAGAAATTTTGTAGCTGAAGCACATGGGAGCGAAAATGCTGAAATGGATGACACTCTGGTTGCTGCTGCTGAAGCTAGTGAACCTAAACCTTATGTGAACTTAGGGACAACTGAAAGTAAAGATGCTTCTACTAATATGGAGAACATGGCTGGTTTCAGACAGAACATTGAGGAAGAAGCACCTCAGGCACCTCCATCCATGGAAATAGCTAGTGAAGATGTTACACCTGCTGAAACTCTTGCAGACAAGTCTGAGGTAGGATCTGGAAGAGATGATGATGATGAAGTAAAAGGCAGCAAAAGGGCTGAACTGGTCAAAGTAGTAGTTACAGATGCTGAAGCTAGTGAACCTCAACCTTGTATGGATGCTGGAGCACCTGAAAATAAAGATGGTTCTGCTAATTTGTTGGAGAACAGGGTTAATTCCAGACAGAGCAGTGAGGACGAGGCATCCTCATCGTTGGAAATAGCTAGTCAGGATGCTACGCCTGCTGAATTTCTTGCGGAGAAGTCTGAGATCGGATCTGGAGGAGATTTTGTAGCTGGAGTACAAGGAAGTGGAAGGACTCAACTGGACAAAACTGTTGTTGCAGATGCTGAAACTAGTGAAACTCAACCTCACACTTATGGGGAAGCCTCTGAAAGTGAAGATAGTTCTGCTAGTTTGTTGGACAAAATAGTTGATTCCAGACAGAGCATCGGGGAAGAAGCTTCTTTGTCCTCAGTAATGGCTAGCCAAGATGTTACACCTGCTGAAGTTTTTGTGGAGAATTCTGAGAATGGATGTGGTAGAGAATCTGTAGCTGCTGTACAAGGGACCAGTAGAGCTGAACTGGACAAAACTGTTGTCGCATATACTGAAGCTAGTGGACCTCAACCTTGTACAAATCAGGGAGCATCTGAAAGTAAAGATGGTTTACAACAGCTTGTTGAAGAGTACTCGGACATGGCTAGTGATATGTAGTCTTCGCTTCGGACATGCCACATTACAATTCCTGGTTGGTTATAATCCAGATATTCTTTAGACTTTGGACTTTGTGACTCTATCCTGATATTGAAAGGAGTTTGGCTGGCTTATCGTTCAATTTCTTGAATTTAGATCTGCTGTGTGGTATTATTAGTCTTTATTTGCTGCCTATACTATAGTAGTGATTCCCAACGAAGAAGAGGGGGAAACATGAATTGAATGTATAGTTCGCACTTTTAATGATCTACTGACTCATGTACAGTGTTCCGACTTGGATGTTTAAGTTCAGTTGAAGTGTTCTCCAATCTTTATCCGGGTTTGACTTGGATGTATATGCCTCTTCTTTTGTGTCTCACTCGTTGCATTTCTTGCTCCATCCTAATTCATTTTTTGTCCTTATGCTACAGTTAACTCTTTTTTTTTTTTTTTCCGTTTCTGTTTGCAGTTTGGAAGCATTTGGTCAATTCGTGGGTGGCTTTTTCTTTCGGGTTGTGATTCAATTGTTGGTTGGCTTTGAGGCTCCAAAAATCCTGCTCTGGTATAGCTGTCCATCTGTGTGTGCTCTAATAATTTCTAACAATGTTTTCCATGCACGATACACTGAGGAGAGTTGGCTTGAAAGCATGATTATTTTTCCCTGTTTTTCATTAGAGTATTTCCTTTCTGGTGGAAATAATTGCGCTATTGTTTTCTTCTAGGTGGTTAATTGCTATTCTGTGGTTGGGACCGCAAATGCCATTTTGTTGATTTGATCACACAGCCACTTGGATGGCTGTGAATATGAAGTCTCTCTCTCTCTCTCTCTCACATGCTATAATTTGATGGCCATTAAGGCGGGAAGGATCAGATTTGCTATTTGCTCTCCCAAATTTTGTAGCTTGCTTGTACATCTTCTCTGAACGGGATTTTACTCTTTCCCTTGGGGATGGAAAAAACAAACATGTACTAAAACGCACAAAAAGCATGTCTACAAATCCTTGATCGAGAGAATGTATTATGTGCTTGTCGCTTTACAAATCTGCAAATTCATGTGGTGTATAGATTTTCATATACTCTTGCCCCTTGTGTCACTGGCTTGGCGAAATGTTTGTTGTTCCAATTGTCTTCTCTCTCCCTCCATTCCAGTAAAAGAGAATATTTGAACACAGACCAATGTTTGTTTGCTTTAGCGGGATGTAATTTTTTTTCATCAAAATTTCATCCGACATCTCAATCTTTATCCTTCAAATGAAACCGGGAAAGATGCGTATGATTTTGCCATGTGATTTTAAATCGTGAATGCATCACCGACACGAGCTCATCTCTGATTTGCTATTTGTTTCCTCTCTTCTATTGGCTGTCCGCATTAGGAGGTTCAAAAGAAGGTGTTATGAAAAACTAGAGCTGCCTGCGGTGATGGAAGCTAAAATTTGTTTGAATAGGGTGGGAAAAAATTTTGTTTATTTTGTGAAATTTTCTGAACATTAATATGATGACTAGATAAAAGTTAGATCCTTTTGTCTTGTTCCTTATTTGGTCTCAACGATGTGGACATGATGCTTTCTTGTGAAGCTTTTTGGGTATCTTTTCATTGTTTTAGGAAATGTCTTTTGGAATTTAAGAAAGAATCATGTGTTTTGAATCTTGATTTATTTCTCTCAAGATTGTCTCTAACCCAGAGGCAGAGGTACGGACAAGGAATATAGAAAGTTTGGGAGTGGGAGAGTTTGAAAATGTTTGTACATTATTTTGGTTTAATTTAAGCAAGTGGAAGAAGGGGAAGAGAGAAGATTGTATAAATCACATTAAAAAAAATAAAAAAGGAAAAGAGAGCTTGTATCACATACAAAAGTACCTGTTTACAATGGAAGATGAAGAGTAGACATTCTTAGGGAGAAAGGAAAAAGGAAAAGAATAAAATTATGAAAATTAATAGTAAAGCATGTCTTGACGTGCATTCAAAATTAAAATGGATCCATTGTTGCATGTTAAAAAAATATATATTGAAACTTAAATAAGAAACAACAATGGACATCAGATGTTGAAATTTTAACATTCACAAGGTCATGGGAACTAATAAATCAGAGTAATCATAATTTGACATCAAGATTGGAGGATGTCCATCGTTCTTAATGTAACCTAGATGGGTTAATACTATTTATCACAATTCTTTAACATAATCTGGCATTTTATCAACCCTGGAACAAATCCACTTAATCAACCAAGCAACCAAAGTGTGGATGTCAAAATTACATTTCATGGAATATATTTTATAAACAATTCATGAGTTGAATCTCTTTAATCTTTGTTTTAGCATTTCTTTAGCAAATACTTCTTATTTCCCAAAATCATCCACTCAACATATTGTTCTTCCTAAATTCAATGGAACTCCAGAATTAAACACCCTGAAATACATTATTCAAAGAATATATCCATAAGGACGTCAATGGTGCCCTGATGATTCTACAAAAGCTCAAAAGTACTATGAACTCTTTTTTCTTGACGCTGAATCTATGGAAATTCTTTATAGATTGGACAATAGAAATCTAAACCATATAGCCTTTTCAAAATGTATAATTAAGAAGGTTTGTAAGCCTAATGAATAGGCTTCTCTTTATTCCAAAAAGAAATTTTTTGTTCGAGTTATTCCAAATGGATATACATATCAGGATTACAAAATGGCTTGGTACAGAGCCTTTCTATTTCGGCCATTTGATCAGAATCATTCTTGGTTTTCACTTTTGATCAAATGGCTGAAACAGAAACGCTCTATACCAAGCCATTTTGTAATTCTGATATGTATATTCATCTAAAATGAATCGGCTAGAAGATTTCTTTTTGGAATAAAGAGAAGCCCATTCAATAGGCTTACAAACCTCCTTAATTATGCATTTTGAAAAGACTATTTGGCTTGGATTTCTATTGTCTGGTTTATAAAAAATGTTCACAGATTCAGAGTCAAGAAGAATGAGTTCATAGCACTTTTGAGTTTTGTAGAATCATCAAGACACCATTGACATCCTTCTAGATATATCCTTTGAATAAGGTGTTTTAGGTTGTGTAGTTCTGGGATTTCATTGAATTTAGTAAGAACAATATGTTGTTGAGTGGATGATTTTGTGAAACAAGAAGTAGTTGCTGAAGAAAAATTTTGAGATCGGGATTGTTTCTGAGGCGGTTTTGAAAATGAAAGAGTTTGAGAACATGGAAGTGGAGGAAAACCTTGAAAAGCTTAAAATTGGTTTGAAACTGGTATTGAATTCATAGTCTTAGGCGGATTGAATTCTTGGAATTCTTTCTTTATCTTTATTGTGTTTTGAAACGCTCATTTTTCCCTGTCAAAAATTGTTTTGTTAGAAAACCAGGAAGTGAATTATTTTCTCATTCGATGAATTCAATTTCAAAATCAAATACTGATAAAATAGCTTGCCATATGATAGAAATTTATTTTGAAATAATATTTTGCACATCTTTTTGAAAAACTTCTTTTGCAGATTTACAATCAATTCTCAAAAGGAATATTTTATTGTATAAATCATCTTGAAATTTTAAAATATAAAATACTATTGATAAAATTTCTTTTTTAATAGTAGAATAGCTCTTTGGGGTCTAAGCCAGACTCCTGAATGAAACCTAACTAATTGTTCTATTGACCTTGAGATTTTTGTTTTAGAGGTATCCATTTCTACTATCATGAATGCGGATGGATGAGAAATTCCTAAACATGATAGTGATCTAACTTTTTTCTGTCATCTTTCCTAAATAAGATGTGAACTATATGAGTATGTTGATTAGACTGTGCTGGTGGATTTTTCTGTCATCTTTGAAATAATGGAGCACAAATTTGGCAAAATTTTGAAAAGAAATTTAAATTTTTAAGGTTTGAAGTGGAGGATGCACTAATGATACTACTTGTTCATTTAAAAGAGTCCATTTTTTTTTTTTGTAAAAATTTGCATAGTCTTTGTTCCACAAAATGGGTCTGTGAGACCTTGAAATTCTACTTGTCTTTATAACTCTTATTTGAACTTACTTGCTTTGAATTCTTGGTTGCTTTACTGGTTTAATCATGGGTTTTACCTATTTTCTTATTTAACTTGGTTCATGTCGAGTTTCATAGTGTATTATATTAGTGTGACTGACAAGTGCGATGTGTGCGTTATGTTTGGTGAACGAGAACAATTGTGGTGTTAGAGGAATTATGCGATTAAAAGTGTTAAGAGTGTATTAGAAGAACACAAGATAAATTGGCTATAAGAAACACAAGAGAGACAAAGAGATAGGAATGAAATCTTACCTTGCCACTTGTCACTTATCCATGAAACCTTGACCAAGACCTTTGACCAAGACTAATCCTTATCTTGCCATTTGTCACACCACAACAACATGTTGACCACCAAGACTAATTCTCATCTTGCCACTTCTCGAACCACTACAACTTTTTAACCAAGACTAAGCCTTATTCTTATCCAACTAAAACTTTAGTTCTTCACCATTTTTTTCTTCTTTTTCTTTCTTGTCTTGGCTGAGTTTAGAGAGAGAGAAAGGGAGAGAAAAGAAACAAACTTAAAGCATTGATTCTTGCCTATTTAGTGAAAAAAAATAAGAGAAAACCCAAATCTACTCCGACAAACCTTGAATCTAGCTTGGAGGGAAGCTCTTGGTGAAGTTTTTGGAGGAAGAAAGCTTTGCAACCTTCTTGATTTGCTTGCCATCTTTGGGTTTTGAGGTAAAGAGGTGAACTTTGCTAGAACTTCTAGTTTCTTCCTTGATTTTTGAATTTAGTTGATGCATGAGGTAATAGAAGCTAAAGGAAGGACTTATATGAAGGCTTTTATGGTTTTCAAATTATGTTGCAAAATTCCAGCTTTGGTGCATAATCTAGTTAGTTTAGTTTTGAGCTTTATATATATGCAATTTTGATGAAAAGAAAGGATTTTATGGAGGCTTGCATTTTTTTCAAGTTATGTTGAGAATTTTTCAGATTTGGTTCATGAAGTGCATAGCCTAGGTTAAAGTTAGATATTTGTGATTTTGATGTTTTTTCTTGCCAAGAATATATACCGTATGACACATGCTATGCTAGCCATGAATTATTGTGATTTTGCCATGAAGATAAGGTTGAAACTTTGAGGTTAGAGGGAAGCCATGAAGATAAGGTTGAAACTTTGAGGTTAGAGGGAAGGAATTTAAGGACAAGTTGCTAGAAATTCTTGTCTGAGTTGGAATTTTGGGATAGTTTTGACATATTATGCTCAAGGTACTTGCTAAAACTTTGATCTTCACATGTGTGTTGCTTTTGAGTCAAAACAAAGAGGTATAAGAGGGGAAAAACCTAATTTTCCAAACTGTTTGCTTGCTGAAAATTTTCGCAGGGAGCTTTGCGTAGATTTGGAAAATTGGCTATAATTTCGAATAAAAAAGTCAGAATTGAGTTCCGTTTGTTGCGTTTGAAACTAACCTCATAGTCCTTTTAACCATGAAAATTTTAAAATTTTTCTCAATTCCTATGAATATATGTGATTTTCCAAAGTTGACTGAATTTCCATTCCTGTTCTATCTTTCTACTGGATAAAGTAGCAACTTGAGATTGGATTTTGACTGGTTTTTTGATAGAATCTTGCAAAGGTATCTTCTGAGAAATTGTACCCCTTTGAATCTATTTTCCAAAGGTGCAAAGTTTATAAATTTTGGACTTGAAAAACTTTAGATATGATTTTCAAATAGCGTTGCGCAAAACTGGAAAAATTCTGTTTCTTAAAACTGTCCTTACTTTCACTTCCAACTTCAAGTTGGAGTTGTTGAACCATTTTGAGCTTGATTTTTCTTTTGGAATAATGTGACTTGGCATAGTGGATTTCATGGCACTTTATAAATGTGATTTTAGGACGTGGAGGTTGTGACAGCCCCACCTCCCCCTAAGTCGAAGCAAAGGGTTCGGCGGACCCCCTGCACAACTCTCGCCAAGACTCACTCACTCACTACAGTCCTCAATTAAATTACAATGCACATCTCAAATATTATATCAAATATTCCATGAAATTACATATCACAAGCGAAGCGAATACTAATTCCCAAGTGTGGAACGTACACATACCTTCGTTCCATTTCCAAAAATTCATACAAGCTCCACTATTACACAAGATGAATCTAAAACAAACTGTACATGAGA